CCACTGCACTCTAGACTGGGTGACAGAGTGAGATTTCAAATAAATAAATACATTCTCTTTTAAAAGGGGTCATCTTAAAAAAAAATAATAAGCTGGGCATAGTGGCTCATGTCTGCAATCCCAGCACTTTGGGAAGCAGAGGCAAGAGGATTGCCTGAGCTCAGGGGTTCGACACCAACCTGGGCAACTTGGCGAGATCTTGTCTCTACAATAAATCATAAAATTAGCCAGGGATGGTGGCGCATGCCTGTAGTTCCAGCTACTTGAAAGGTTGAGGTGGAAGGATCGCCTGAGTCCAATGGGTCGAGGCTGCACTGGCCATGAGCGTGCCACTGCACTCCAGCCTGGGCAACAGAGTGAGACTCTGTTTCAAAATGATAATAATAATAATGATGATGATGATGATGAAGCAGGCTGGGTGCAGTGGCTCATGCCTGTAATTGCAGGACTTTGGGAAGCTGAGGTAGGAAGATCACTTGAGCTCAGGTGTTTGAGACCAGTCTATGCAACATAGTGAGACCTGTGTCTACAAAAAAATAAAAATTAGGCATGATGGCATGTACCTGTATCTCAGCTATTCAGGAGGCTGAGGTGGAAGGATCACCTGCGCCCAGGAGATCCAGGCTCCAGTGAGCTTTAATTGTGCCACTGCACTCCAGCCTGGGCAATAGAGTGAGACTCCAACTCAATACATACATAAATATATAAATCACGTGAAACTATACAAGGTATCACAAGAGAACGGCAGACTAATATCTCTTATGAATGTAGATGCAAAACCCCTCAACTAAATACTAGCAAATTAAATCCAGCAATATATAAAAGATCATACACAAGGAACAAGTAGAATTTATCCCAGGAATACAAGGTTCGTTTTACATCCTGTAGGGGCCAAGGGAATGCTTCCCCTTTGCCCTCTGAAATTTCTCTGAAAATCAACTCACTAAAAGGCAGACTAAGCTGGGCGTGATGGCTCACGCCTGTAATCCGAGCACTTTGGGAGGCAAAGGCGAGAGGATTGCCTGAGTTCAGGGGTTCGATATCAGCCTGGGCAAATTGCAGAACTTCATCTCTACAATAAATCGAAAAATTAGCTGGGCATGGTGGCATACACCTTCAGTTCTAGCTAACTGGAAGGCTGAAGTGGAAAGATTGCCTGAGCCTAGCAGGCCAAGGCTGCCGTGGTCGAGGCTGCCTGTCACTGAACGCCAGTCTGGGTGACAGAGACAGACTCCAAATCAAAGAAAAAAAAGGCAGATTAATTGGAGAAAAGGCATATAAACTTATTAACACATACACAGGGAGAACCACAGAATGATTACTCATCCCCAGTTGGGGTTCAAGAGTTTATATACCATTTTGAAATGACAGAAAGGATGAGGCAAAACAGATTATGGGAGGGGGAAGAAAAGGAATTACTAAAGAGAAGGAAAGGATGTGTGGATAGAGACTCACTTGTAAATAGAATAGTTTTTTCTGGAATTTGTTTTCTGAGTTGGGATCCCACTCTGTTGCCTAGGCTGGAGTACACTGGGACAAACACACTACATCACAGTGGCTCAGTGGGGAACAGGTAGCAGAGAGACCTTAAAGCTTCTTCAGTTCAGCATATCAAAGTGCCATATTATCAGTGTTTGAGGCCCACAACCCAAAAATAATCAATTAATGGGTTATACTACATATAGAATAAAACCACACAATCATCTTAAAAATATATAGAAGAAGTTTTTTTTTTTAATTCCAACACTGTTTTATGATAAATCACTCAACAAACTAGAAATAGATGATATCTGCCTCAACCTGATAATGGGCATCTATGAAAAACTCACAACTAACATCATACTTAATGGTGGAAGATTGCAAGCTTTTCTCCTAAGGTCAGGCACAAGACAAGAATGTGCACTCTCACCACTTCTATTCAACAATGTGTCAACGAAAAAGCCCTCTGTAGACTATCTAAAGAGGTTTATTCTGAGCCAAATAGGAGTGATCTATTACCAGTGCCACAGTCCCAATTGGTCCTGAGATCATGTGCCCAAGGTGGCAGATTACAACTTGTTTTTGTTCTTTTTTTCTTTTTTGAGTTGGAGTCTCATTCCGTCACCCAGGCTGGAGGTGCAGTGGCACAATCACGGCCACCGCAGCCTCAACCTGCTGGGCTCAGGCAATCCTTCTATCTCAGCCTTCTAAGTAGCTGGGACTACAGGTGCACACCACCACGTCCGGCTAACAGCTCGGTTTTATACATTTTAGGGAGACAGAAGTTATAGGCAAAAAACATGAATCAATAGAGATGATTGCCTGGGCCCGGAAAGGCAGAACTTCTCTAAGTGGGGGCTTTTCAGGTCATAAATAGATTCAAAGATTTTTCTCAGTGGCAATTGGCAGAGTTAAACTCTGACTAAAGAATTTGAAAAATCAGTCAAGGAAATGCTTGAGTTAAGATAAGAGGGGTGGTTGGGTGCGGTGGCTCACACCTATAATCCCAGCACTTCGGAGGCCTAGGTGAGAGGATTGCCTGAGTCAGAAGGTTCAAGACTAGCCTAGGCAACTTGGTGAGACCTCATCTCTACAACAAATCAAAAAATTAGCCAGACTTGGTGGCAAGTACCTGTAATTACAGCTAGGTGGAAGGCTGAGACTGAATGATCCCTGGAGCCTAGCAGGTCAAGGCTGTGGTGGCTGGGAGCGGCCACTGCACTCCAGTCTGGGCGATGGGAGTGAGACTCCAACTCAAAAAATAAAAATAAAAAAATGAAAAAATGAAAAAATAGAATAAATAAAAAAAGACACAAAATTACAGATAGTAGGAATAAATTATAGTGTTTTATAACACTGTAGGATGACTATAGTTAACAATATTTAATTTCAGATAGCTAGAAGGAGGATATTGAATGTTCTCAATACAAAGAAATGATAAATATTTGAGATTTATCATTTCTTTGTATTAGATGGGCATGCTAATTATCCCAATCGGATCACTACACATTATATGTATTAAAACATCATTATGTACCTGATGAATATGTACAATCATTATTTGTTAATTAAAAATTAAATTAAATTTCAGCCTGTAATCCCAGCACTTTCGGGGGCGAGGCGAGTGGATTGCCTGAGCCTGCAGGTTCAAGACCCGCCTGGGCAATTTGGCGAGACCTCATCTCTACAATAAATCAAAAATTAGCCGGACGTGGTAGTGGATGCCTGTAGTTCCGGTTACTTGGAAGACTGAGGTGGAAGGATCACCGCAGCCCAGCAGGGCGAGGCTGCGGTGGCCGGGAGTGTGCCATTGCACTCCAGTCTGGGCGACAGAGTGAGACTCCAACGCAAAAAAAATTTTTAATTTAATTTAAAACACATGGTTTTAAACACCATTGCTTTTGTGCATTATGAAATGTATTTTTTCCATGCTGACTCATGTCATAAATGAAAAGATAACAGAGATTTTTGTTATTACTGCTCCAATATGCTAATTCTCAGTAATAACCTGTGGTCTATTTTCATAATCCATGTTTACAAGAGTAACGTCGGGCTGGTCGTGGTGGCTCACACCTGTAATCCCAGCACTTTGGGAGGCGGAGGTGAGAGGATTGCCTGAGTCCTGGGGTTCGAGACCAACCTGGGCAACTTGGTGAGGCCACGTCTATACAATAAATAAATACATTTAAGCAGGGCTCGGTGGCTCAGCCTGTATTCCCGCGCCTTTGGGAGGCTGAGGTGAGTGGATTACCTGAGCCCGTGGGTTCGAGACCCGCCTGGGCAGGCGAGACCTCATCTCTACAATAAATCAAAAAATTAGCCGGGCGTGGTAGCGCGCGCCTGTAGTTCTGCTACTTGGAAGGCTGAGGCAGAAGGATCGCCGGAGGCCAGCAGGTCGAGGCTGGGGTGGCCGGGAGCGGCCACTGCCCTCCAGTCTGGGCGACAGAGTGAGACTCCAACTCAAAAAACAAATAAATAAATAAATTTAAAAATTAGCCGGGAGTGGTGGCACACACTTGTAGTTCCCTACTTGAAAGGCTGAGGTAGAAGGATCACCTGAGTCCAGCAGGTTGAGGCTGTGGTGGCTGGGAGCATGCCACTGGCACTCCAGCCTAGGCGAGAGTGAGACACCAGCTCAAAAAAAAAAAAAAAGTAACTTTGGAACTTCAGTCATTGTCAGCAGTTTTTCCTGCTCCACAATTAAAACATATTTTGGAGAGTACTGTACAAATCATTTTGGGGGTCCCTCCGCATTGCTGCTGGATAAGAAGACCTGAAACTCTATTTTTGACTTTCGGCAGCGGGATTTTTATGAGCCATTATCAGCGGTCATCACTGCCCTTCCTCCTTGGACAGCTGACACAGGACAGGAAGACTGAGGGCTCTTTCTGATACTCTGAAGATCCGCTTCGGGAAACCCATTTTGTTGGTATTTTTAAGGTGTGATAAGACTGGTCCAGCCTCCACACTTGGGAAAGTTCTCCTTTATACACCCGTGTCATCAGCAGAGCTACCCTGCAGGTTTTGGATTCTCCCACGTGGCTAGTGAGTAGCAAGCAGCGCCCCAAGTCAGGCTTCTGGGTGCTGGTCCTTTCCTGAGTCACTTTGATAGGAGAAGGGGGTTGGGGAAAGACACCTGAGTCTGGGAGTGGGCTGGGAGTGAGGCACAGTTAGGGGGCTGAACACACCCCTCATCTCCTGTACCATTTTGCTCAGGGCCAGCTCGAAGTGAGAATGTATCCCAACCCCCTGAATACAGGCTACACAGAACTGAGCGGAGTGAGTTGTTAGCAAGCACTCCAGTGGCCCCTTTTGCCACCCCGGGGAGGCCGAGCAATGCGAGTGTGTGGCCGCAGCCCCTCCATTCTCCCAGGAAACCCACGGGAGTATGGAGGCGGACAGAGGGTGTGTGTGCGCGCGAGAGGAAGATCACAGGCCCCCGGCGCTGCTGCCCCCGCATGCGGGGCCGCCGGGATTGGG